TCTATGGTAAAAGAATGCGAGAAAGATTTGAGGTGGGAATGTGTAGAAGTCAAATGTATCTATTTCAGTTAAAAGTATGCTTTATTCTCCAGCAATAGCATTAGCTCGGAGTTTTGAAGTCTACAAAAGTCAGAAGCGACTCGTATCATTGTCACAGAGAATGCAGCACGTTTCATTCTGGTGACAAAATAAAAAATGCAAAAAAGGCGTCTTCAGTCAAAGAGACCGAATCCCATGTCGTCGTCTTCAGATTCTGATTCTTCTTTAGCAGGTTTCTTTTCCTCTGTTAAAATAAAGTATTTGTATTGTTTAAGATTTACATATATTTGATATTTTTGTATATTTTTTGAGGTTTTATTTCAATAGAAAAAAGCCTACCTTTCTTTTCTTCCACTGGAGCTGCCACACCACCAGCAGGAGCTACAGTGACACCGGCAGCAACCGCTCCACCAATTGGCATAGATGATAGCTTTTCTCTACCTAAAATTATCAGATAATATTTGATTCAATTCACAAAGAAATATTAGTTGAGTATCTCAATGAATATATTGGTATACCTTTGGAAATTAATTCGTCAATCGGCTTTCCATTTAGCTCGGAAATAACTTTTTTCAATTTTTCAGCGTCAGTTTCAATTCCTACTGACGACAGAATTTTCTCAATATCATTCTGGCTTGGTGAGGCTTTGCCTCCCAATACAGCCAGCATATAAGCGGCCACGTAACGCATTCTGCAAAACAAGTTAAAAGATACATGATGTTAATAGATACATTGTTTAACTTGATTATTCAAGTGTTAATTAATAAATTAGTAAGCAAAGATTGTATCATTATAATACTCAGTCAACAGATGATTTAGTGATGATAATCATCACGAATGTAATAAGTATGGAAACAAAAAGCATGAGATATTTTGTTTTCATATAAAGGTCATTCGCGTGATCAAAGCATGATTACTGACGTGTTTATACTTAGATTTATATATAGACTTTCACATGTATATTTATATTCAGATATAACCTATAAAATTTGGCATGAGAATTACAATTTTTTTATCATTTTTTATCGTATTATTTCCTGAATTGTATTACAGTTACATTCATGTTAACAGATGGCTTAACTTGAAGAGCAATGAAAAGCGATATTGGTTTTATGTTATCTCGCAGATATTCACAATCTTCCACGAACGTGAAGCGTGATGAGCATCCATTGATATAACAAATTATAAAATGCAATCGGATGAGAGCGTTAATCATTTCGATTCTTTGATGTTCGAACAATCCAGGATTCAAAATATTATTCCTCATAGAAATATAAATTAAACTTAGATTTACCTTTAAGTCTTTACGACACGAAACGTGGACTACGCCGAAGTGATACAAATCGTGTACGGAATTAACACCAGAAGAAACTTTGATGATATAAATATAGACTGCTAGTAGCTCACTTCACTTGTGATGCCAACATTAATTTGGACAGTGGCGCTACCATGTCCCACAAACTATGGCTAGAGACACTATAATAAGAGACTGGTCACGAAAAAGCAACTTTTGATTGGTCCGCCATCTTTTGGCTATTCCCACTTATTTTCAAACATTACATTAACTACATTAATCTTAAATTGTAATATTATAATTTAAAAACATAAACATTTTAAAGGTAATAAAATGTGTATATTTATAAAACTTTATTTTACATAATTATATTACCAATTTATTAATATATTTATTAATATATCGTATTTATTAATATATTTTCTTTAATATTAACAATTTTAAATTTATTACTATTTATTTATTTATCTTTTTTTTCGCTATTTATCTTTTTCAACCAAGAACAAAAATTAATATTAATACTACTATTACACCCTACATAGAACATAACCTCGAATGGACGTCCATTGAATCTCCATGGCTCCATTAAACTTCCATCGAACATTTCCATGATGGAAATCAGATAGGCGTTCATTAGAAATCCAAAGAACTTCCACGGTGGACAGTGCTCTAGGATTCTACTGTAGATGTCCATTAGCCATCTAGCGAACCTGGCACGATGGACGGTGCCATAGTATAGACATTAATGGTAGCGACACTCTATATTTATTTGGGATTGAATTTTCATTGCGCATGCTTATATTCTTAGCCGAAACCTATAGTGACATAACCTCTTCAGATTAGCTAAACCTAACGCCAACCCGCAAGCTTTATATTACATTACAGTTATATTACAGATTCTTTGTTAATTATAATTAGTAAAATGAATGTGAGAGCGTATTGTGCTGCCACAAATTGCTTAACAATTCTTGGAATTGTTCTTAGCTTTTTTAGATTTCCAAAAGAATCGGAACAGTACTTAAATAACTTTTTATATTAAAAAAATAAGAACTAGATATTTTAAATATTATATTGCTAATTTATATTGCTAATAATTTGTTTATAAATTAATATATATTAATCTCACACAGACATCACTGAATTTCATTACTTAGTCAGACACTGTGAATCATTGAGGCAACATTGTGCTTCTAAAATAGTTTTTGAACTCTGAAAAATATAAAAAATTTCAAATACACTCTTTCAACATTTAAGGATATGATTATACAATTATATAACCCGAAACATTTTTGCTTTTTTTGTACGTGCTCAAATTTGAGACAGAATCGGTAAAATAACAAAGTTGAAAAATTGTCTGTTCCCTCAAAGATACATGATGTTTATGTACCTTTGTACAAGACATTTTTGTGTACAAGATGTCTGCAGAGGATTAAGTTAATGTAATAATCAAAATTGTTTATTTAAAATTATTTATAAATACAAATAATGGATAAATGCAATAAATAGGCAAGATCTAATTAACAAAGATAGCGTTACTTTATACAAAAACTATAAATTATGTGCAGCACACTTTCAAATAAATATGTTTATCAATGATCTACAAAATAGATTACATGTACGTGCTATACCAACAATTTTCGAAAATGCACAGTAAGCATTTTTTTAATATAAAAATAATAAAATAATTTAAAAGCATCTAAATTTTGAATTATTCTAAATTAAAAATATTTTAAAAGATATATCTCAAAAAATTAAATATTTATTTTTGTAATAACACTATATTGTTATTACAGTGATTTTCGTACAGAGACCAACACAGAGATAATCTAGGAAAACACACTAATTACTAATATTTCAAAAAATCAATCGGAAATTTTATCTATTACAGTTGTTCGATAGAAGAAACAATCAGGAAAGAATCAAGAAATTTCTCTGTTAAGAAGAAAAAATTAACGCCATTAGCAATTTCTATTCCAGATGATCAACTTAATTCAGCATTAGAAAAATCTTTATCAGCATTAATTCAAACATCACTATATATTATCTGCGAATACTCCACGTAAACAAAAATTGCGAACAAAATTTAAAAAATTACAAAAAATCAATTCTATACTAAAAGCAAAATTAAAACGTAAGAATAAATTAGAGAATATTACAGAAACAGATTTTTTAAAATTTTATATTAAATTTGTACCTAAAAGTATACAATTTTTTATCACAGAGCAAATTAAATTACAAAAATGTCAAAACAAAAAAGATAATAGATATACAGAAGAATTTAAGAGATATGCATTATCACTTTTTTTTCTTTCGCCAAATGCATACAGATTTCTACAAAAAACTTTTAATTTACCATCTATCAGATGTTTACAAAGATTTGTCGAAAGCTGGCTGGAAGAACCTGGATTAAATGATACAATTTTTAATACAATTAAAATTAAGACAGCTACAATGGAAAAAATGGATAAAATATGTATTTTATGTTTTGATAAAATGTCGATAAAATCCAATTTGTTATAGTATAAGAAAGGATAAAATTATTGGTTTTCATGGCACAGGCAACAACAAATTACTTGATGTAGCACAAAATGCTGTAGTTATTATGATAAGAGATCTTAAAACAAATTGGAAACAACCTTTAGGATATTTTTTAACGCATTCTACTTGTTCTACTATAGATGTAAAAAATTTAATTGAAGATAAACAAGTTATATGAAATTAATATACAAGTTGTAGCTGTTATTACTGACCAAGGCTCAAATTTTCGTAAATTAATTAATTTATATAATATAACAATAGAAAAACCTTACTTTATGATAAATAATATGAAAATTTTTTATTTTTTTATATGCCTTGATAAAAAGTGTGAGAAATAATTTGATGACACACAATTTTATATATAATGATCAACATGTTTCATGGCAACATATATGAATATTTTGAGCAGGACAAGACAAGAAATTTAAAATTAGCTCCTAAACTAACTAATGAACACATATATCTTAATAATTGGCAGAAGATGCGAGTTAAGTATGCTACATTTAGTGCTACTTATTGCTGCTTTGAAAACTTATATTTCATTTGGACTGCTTGGAGAAGAAGTCATAGCAACAGCTAATTTTATTTATGATTTTGACAAATTTTTTGATATCTTTAATTCATCAAAATTATCTAATGCGAAACAATTTAACAAACCATTTAAAAAAGAACAATATCAAATGGATTTTTTGTATAAAATGTTAGATAGTATAAAGAATCTAAAAGTTATTTCATTTGATGGAATAGATAGAGAAAACTAGACAAGTAAAGTTTGTATTAAATTTACAATTAACTATAAATGCATTACTTCAATTATGAGAATTTCTAAAAATCGTTGGATTTCAATATGTATTAACTAGGCGAATTAATCAAGATTGTCTAGAAAATTATTTTGGAGCTATAAGGAAACGAGATGGCAATTCATACAATCCTACACCACAACAATTTATAAATGCTTTTAAAAACCATTTTCATTGAAGTTTTTAATATCAGAAAATGCAAATTGTACTGATGATTTCTCAAAATTTTTAACTTTAATGAATTCTGCTGCTCGCACCATGTATATGAAAGCCATCGAACAACTTTACTGACAGAAGAATTTACTGATATTTCATTCAACAAAATTATTAGATTCAGATTATCATAATTATGACTTTTTAACTGAAAATTTATTACAATATTTGTGTGGTTATATTATAAGAAAAATACGAGTTCAACATGTTTGTTCTATTTGCGAAACAATTGCTTTACAAAATCCATTGGCACCTAACACAATATTTATTGAAGAAAAAGCATATGATAAAAGTGCAATTTGTGATAATTTATTAGTACCAAGCGATGAATTTTTTATATATTAATGTATCGACACCTTCGATATTATCGGTACACTCAAATTATTTTATTTTTTCGCCGGCGTGAGCTGTGGAGAGTCTCGGTTAAAGAAATCAAGTCGGGTGTGTTAACAATTACGATATTTATTTAAACTCGTCACACTCACATATTCGTTCACTCCAATACAAGATCCGATAAGACAATAACTAATACAAGCAAAATTCGATTTTACGAGGCATTCGGGTACATACGATATCTCCACTCGGATAAGAAAAGAAAACTGATCCTTGGAAATCGGGCAATGGCTCTTATACTTGTCACTCGGCGGGAGTATATTGAACAACGCTTCTGTGTCTAGCACGAACAACAACCCACGACTCACCTGCGAGGTATGGAACGGCGATACCTCTCTTTTCTTGGACACGTGATCGAAAGTAGTGCCTAATGAGAAATGTGATTGGCACAAAGAGCGAGTAATTCGATATTCTTACGCGTTACATAGAATATTCGAGAACACTTAGGGCCAGGCCTGAACATGCCGCCCGCCTCTTATCTAGTACGGTACGATCAGGATAGCATAGTTGACAATAATCCGATACAACAATGACTTACTGCGCTTAGTCTATAGGGAGACGACAAATTTTCGCGATAAGTCGCAGGAATACAGAGTCTTTGATCTTTACGCGCACGATACGAACATGTCCTCATCACTTGGCTCAGTCGCGATAATTCTACCTAAACTCCATTTTAATGGTGGTAATAGATCGTTGCGTAGGAGAACAAATTCTCTGGGCACAACTTCTGGAAGCGTTTGCTTCCACTTGACCCGCTGTTGAAAAGTATGTAGGTAGTCACGCGACCAATTCTTCCAGAAATGTTCGAACATCGCTCATATTCGTTGATACCTTGATAATCGGTTCTTCTGTATTTCGAATTCCTCAGGAACGGTAACGATAGGGGCTCCGATGAGGAAGTGTCCGGGTGTTAGAGTCGCGAAGTCATTGGTAGAGATGGCAGAAATGAGCTTCGAGTTGAGACATGCTTCCACTTTGCAGAGAAGCATCGAGAATTTCTCCGATGATAAAATATGGTTGCCAACGATACGGCGTGGGTGATGCTTCATACTCTTCACGCTGGCCTCCCAGATGCCGCCGAAGTGAGGCGCAGCAGGTGAAATAAAGTGCACGTAGTACCGTCGATAGCGAGTAGCGATCTCAGTTCCAGGTTGGCGATCTTGCGGAATGTTTTTAATTCTTTATCTGCTCCT